TTAATACTCCATTATACTTCATAATTTTTTTATGTGATAAACTCGCAACTTTTTGTAATTTTATGGGTCAATTTACAGTATATGATTTATATATAAATTTAGACTTTTATATATCTGGAATCTCAATCAGAACTATGTAAAATTAAAGGAAGATTTCTCAAAAGGATGACTTGATAGCACGTCTGGAAAACCAAACTTGCTTCTATTTTTTTCTTTTAAACATTGAAACCAAACTTGCTTCTAGGACGTGGCCTTTTCCAGCTTCACAGGCTTTTGGAATACATAACTACTAATCCACTACATGACTAGTGTCAGTGCCTCTGATGGACTTAATATACCTTTAAAAATTGCACTTTCATATCAAAATTGCTTGTATTCTTGACAAGTTTACAAGAAAATTGTATGTTAATTGTCATGAGGAATTAGCACTAATACATCATGTTATAAAACTAGTACACGTAAGCACTCAACAATGTGTTACTTTCAGATAATTTAATGTTTGTTTAGAAGTACTAGTTAAATAGAATTTCCTGTGTAATTCATTAATAAAAATGTTTTAATTAAGAAAGTACGTAATATGAACTTCTTGAAAAGTCCATTACGTATAAAAAATACCTTTTCTTAGTTGGACTTTTTGTAAAAGTGCTCCACAAAGCGCATAATACGTGAGGAAAAGTCTTGTATATTTTGTGAAAACCCACCGCAACAAGTAATTATTATTTGTGGGAACTTTTACAAGAATTTTGCATCTTATGAATAATGTCAATGTTGCACAACATTTTAGAGTTGTTGTACGTTACTCTCTGTGGACAATTTAATACGAATTTTGTGTGCTACGAGAAATGTCAATGTTGCCCGGCGAAAAAAAATATCATATATATTACTGTATATGTCAATGTCACATAGCCATATAGGTAATTTCTTGGATGGCTCGTGGCGAGAAAATTGCAATTTTAGTTCAGTAACTTAGGTTGTTTCTCATTTTAGTTTAGTAATTTGGGCCGATCCAAAATTGGTCCAAAAACTTCCAAAATGTAGTTAAATTAGTCCAATTCCGATCCCCGTCGCCGGAATCCGAATTATCAACTCAGCACATTCCGATCGGATTCCGGTGACGGGGACCGGAATTGGACTAATTTAACTACATTTTAGAAGTTTTTGGACCAATTTTGGATCGGTCCAAGTTATTGGACTAAAGTGGGAAACAGCCTAAGTTATTGGACTAAAATTGCAATTTTCTCGGTTCATGGCTGGGAATTGGGATGGATGCTATGGTGTAGATAATAACACACGATATACTACTAAATTTCTTAATTAATTTACTAAAATAAGGAACAGAATTCTTATACAAAATAATGCATAAATAACAAGGAAATTTCTATATCCAAACATCTTCAAGATTAGATCAAATTTAAATTGTTAAAAAGGTACAAATTTTGATATGCCAAACATCTCAAACTATTAGGCTATAATGTAAATTTGACACTTCAACTATAAGAGCTGGAAACTTTTAGTCCATTTTCAACCGAATTCAAAAAGCCAAAATATGAAGTAGAAAGGTTAACTGAAAGGCAAACTCAAACTCAAAATGAATCTATCCCACTCTCATATGTTAAACGCAAAAACTGTGTTTAACCTTTTTAAATTGCAACTTATGCCCTTTTGTGTTTTCAATTACCAGATGACATATAATAAAAATATTAAAAATAAAAATTTTAGAAGATATATTGGAAATTACTGGGTGTTCTGAATAATGAGATGCACATCAAAAGAATTAAAATATATATAAAAAGAAATTGGATACTTGTGCAGTGTGTACTAAAGGAGCTAATATTGTTGACATATTAAGTAGTAATAAATAGGACTATATTTATAAATTTTTTTATACGCATGAATTTTAAAGAATTTTATTATATATTTTTCAATTGAATATAAAATAATATCGTGGTCTGATTAACATTTGGCAAATATTTGGATACTATTGAAAAATTACAAATTATTATAAAAGATAATATTAATATTCTTTTCAGTTTCAGAATGAATTTTTCGGCTAAAGAAAAATTACCGTTTGATATGACAATTATTTCATTTTGGGCTTGAGTAGAGTTTTTCGGTTGGATATCTTATATTCCACCCAAAATTACATTTGAAAATTGCGTAATTATTAATCACCTACACTATAAATAAAAGATTAACATTGTGATTTCCCGTACATATTTTAGTAAACTCAGCCGAAATAATTTCATGCTAAAATGGTCACTCAATATTGCACTTCCATATCACACAAAATGGAGTTACATTAATTCCTTGGCTTCTAAACCCAAGCTCAATCCTAACTTAATTAATATGTGAAACAACAAAAAGGTTGAAACGAATGATGAGAAAAAATAATATTACCCTCTACTCTTTTTAAATGTTATTTTGCTTTTATTAACTATTAACCAAATAAATGAATTTTTTGTACATACTTCTCCATTATTACATCATTCAGCTAATAAATACACTACGTCTTTTCATATCCACTCTTTCAGGTTATTAATTTTCATTTTAAAGAGGATTATTATTGACAAAAAAAATTCTTAATTATTAGACAACTTCTCAAAACTCACATATTATGAATAGGAGAGAGTAGAAAAAAAGACTTCAAATTTAAGACAGAGAATACAAAAAAGAAAAAAAAAAAAAAACCCAATAAAAATAAAGATTTCATTAGTGGACAAATTTACATACCAAAAAAATCTAATAGTAGCAACTTATGGAGGTTTTCCTCCATAATGGTGTTTCTGATTGGGTCAGCATGTTGACCATCTCAATAATTCGGAAGGGCTAGAATTGCAGTCAAAGTTATGCTGCCATAATCAAATAAAAATAGGCTCTTTTTCACATTACAATGGTATTTGGGACCATTGGTGAACATTAATCAAATGCATGGCAGTCTTTATCAACATTTTCAATGAAGATTTTCTTCAGCCTTGACTAAAGACCATTTATACACCCTATAATTGCCTTTATCTTCATTCATACTGGCATATTTTAATCTTCTTGTGTTCTTCATCTTCCTTACTTTAACTTCCATCTATTTTTTCTCCATTTAANTAACCCCAAATTAATAACAAGGTGGCAGGTATTATTAGTTTCCAATATTTTAGTGATGGGAGCTTGCCTGGGAAAACCTGCAAAACTTGCTCATGCTTCATCAGGACAATTTTCTGGTATGACTTATAATCCAAAAAAAGAAAAAAAAATTATGTTCATTCATTTCCCTTCTTTTTCTCTTTTCTACATGCTTATTACCTTTCAATGTCTTGTACTTCGGAGGGGATTTATGGACTATGGTTATGTGCTTTTGTTCTCTAAGGTTGAAGCTTTACACATTAGTGCTCTTGCAGTATTCAATTAAAGTTTGTTTTTTTTCCTTTTGGCATGCTTTAAAGACTTTAATGTTGATTATATGAGTCTCTCTCTGTCTCTCATCCTATGGAATAACTTTCAAAAGGATTTTTACAATCATAGCTTTCAGTTTTCTTGATTTGTCTAATTTAGCTTACAAATTCAACCAAATCGGATTTTCTGCATTGAATTCTGAAGATGATGCAAGAACCATAACCTCTTAACATTTTACCATGCCAACCTTAAGAAGTACTCTCTAATGTAACTAACATGAAAAATCAATTCTCTTTTCAGATAATAAGCGGTCAAGTGTCGGTACAGACTCAAACCATTTGGTTTCTTCAAACCAGCAAAATCACTCGGGTACCTTATGCAATGCTGTCTTAGCTTTGAAAGGCCTCTCGAGCAACCTCAAATCTTTCACCCTAAGTGACCTCAAAAACGCCACTAAGAATTTCCGGTCAGATAGCCTTCTTGGGGAAGGAGGCTTCGGTTATGTCTTCAAAGGATGGATAGACGAGCACACGTTTGCCCCAAGCAGGCCTGGGAGTGGCATGGTTGTGGCCGTCAAGAAGCTCAAGCCAGAAAGCTTTCAAGGCCACAGGGAATGGCTTGTATGTGATTATCATCTCAATATTTATTTTTCCTGAAGTATTTTTGATGTTCAGAAACCTACCCTTGATGTTTGGGGTAATTAGAGAAAAGCCCAGAAAGTGATGAATTATGTTTAAAAAATTTGAGTTTTGGTAGTCTTTTACCTTTCTCTAATTTTTTTTAAGAAGGCCGACTTTACATTTGTAGAAATATGACTGATTTTATGTTTATACTTTTACAGACAGAAGTTAACTACTTGGGCATGCTAAGCCACCAAAACCTTGTGAAGCTAATTGGCTATTGTTCTGAATCTGAGCATAAGCTTCTAGTCTACGAGTACATGCCGAAAGGGAGCTTAGAGAATCATCTTTTTAGAAGTGAGCAAAACTTCTCTGCACTTTGAGCATTTCATTGTCACTAGTGCTTTTTGAAGCAATCGTTTTTCGTTTGAATTTTCATCAATATGTTTTGAATCGTGCAGAAGGAGTGCAACTCATGCCCTGGGCAGTAAGGATGCGAATTGCAGTCGATGTTGCCAGAGGATTATCTTTCTTGCATAGCTTAGATGCAAATATAATCTACCGGGACTTGAAGGCATCCAATGTGCTTCTTGACTCGGTAAGGCAAAAACAATCTTTGTCTTCTTTTTTATAAACTGAAAGAGATAGCTTGAAATTGGAATCATCCTATATTCACCACTGTAACTCAGAGCAACTCCTAAATGGATTTGTTATTTATGATTTGAAATCCTCAGCTTAACATACACCAATATGAATGCTAGTTCTGAGATTGTACAAAGACCAAAGTAACAATCAAATGCTTTATATATAGGAATTCAATGCAAAGCTTTCGGACTTTGGCCTTGCTAGGGAAGGTCCCAAAGGAGACAGAACTCATGTTTCAACTCGAGTTGTTGGCACTCGAGGCTATGCTGCCCCAGAATATGTAGCAACAGGTCACCTTCAATTCCCAACTGTTTTTTCCTAATCTTTATTTTTTACCCCTTCTTTGCTTCGATGCACATCACATGATATTCCATCTCCTATTTCAATAGCATCTTGCGGTGATAAAGTATTTTCATGCACTTTGAAATGTTATACCGATATTTGAAAAAGAAATGATGAATCTTTATTTCCTCTAATAAATAAAAATAAAATAAAATAAAATAAAAAAACAGGTCACCTGACTCCAAAGAGCGACGTGTACAGCTTTGGGGTCGTTTTGCTCGAGCTTCTATCCGGAAAACGGGCCACGGGTGATGATAATGCCGGGGGAGCAGAGGAAACCCTAGTGGACTGGGCAAAGCCATTTTTAAGTGATGGCCGGAAAGTGTTGAGAATAATGGACTCGAGATTGGGTGGTCAGTACTCAAAGAAAGGGGCCCAAGCTGCAGCAGCCCTTGCACTCAGGTGCCTTCACATAGACGGTAGAAACCGGCCAGCCATGACAGAGGTTCTAGCGTCACTCGAGCAGCTCCAGGCATTGGGGAACACGCCTAGGATTTTACCTCATACTAACAGGGAAAACTGTATGAACGAGAAAATGAGCCCTCGTAGGACTACGAGAGAGATAAGGCAATCAAGGTAGATTTTGGTTGATAAAAGTCATAGTTCTGGGTTTGTCTGGGCATATATGGTAGGAATAGTTGTAATTTTTGTTGCTGTATATTTTTGGTGTATGGCAGTGGCTATGGATTATAAATAGTTCAACATATACAGAAATGGAAATCTGGAGAAATAAATCGATTTGAAGAGAATTCATCCCTTTTTTGTTTTAATAATTTCGTTTGGTTTATTGAACTTTACCTTTCAAAGTGTCTTCACTTACGACTGCAATCGCATTTGGCTGAGGAAACATAGAAATTTGAATAAGAATGTGCCTAGAAGACCAAGCTTCATAAATACATCAATTATGTTCCATTTGAGCATTTTTACCACAAGTAAATACGTCAGTTAGGAGGTTCAAACTCACGTTTGTATCGGTTGAATGTCAATAGGATTTAACCGGATTGCGACCAGCATTCCGTGAAGTTAACTATCTGTACATGGAGTTCAATTCTTCAAGAATCACCAAAAGTTGATTGGCTCCAGATAGACGTGAAAGATATCATGTAGTAGCCTCTGCAAATTTGTGAGCGGAAAGCGGATATCATTCACAAAACCTCTAGAAATGCCCTACACCTGCACCACATTGAATCATTCTTTACATGAATCCATTTNAAAAGAAGAAGATAATGGATTCTCAATGAAGAAAATAATCGGAATATATATGTCCACATCTTTCGAGGTATATATACAGATTTGCATCTGGATAAGCAGAAAAAAAAAATGCAATTGATTGAATCAAGAAATTGAGCTAAACCTCAATATAGTGAACCAAAAGACCAAGCATTTTGACCATGAACAGCAACTTCTTGACCAAGAATTCAGCATTCGAAACCATAATTTCATCATATATGAGTTGATTCATCCACCTCCTTGATCTGCTTATCCAGGTGGCTCAATATGCTATATATCATGCCCCTTTCCGAGTGAGAACAATCCCCAGCAACAAACGCATTCTTACTCTTTCCTATCTCAATCCAACTACAGCCCGCAGGTTTTTTCACGTCCTTACTCTTTATCAACCTTCTCGTTTCCAACACCCCATCCCATCTGTCATCTGCAGCATACAGATTTGACAAAACCACGTAATTACCAATGTCCCCAGTCTCGATTTTCAAGAGGCGTTCGGCCACAACCCTACCCGTCTCCACGTCATGGTGGGTCCTACAAGCCCCAAGAAGTGTTCCCCATATATTAGCATTAGCTTCAAATTCAATAGGCATTTGATTTAGGAAATATAAAGCGTCCTTAGTTCGGCCTCCTCGACCTAGAAGATCCACCACACAAGCATACTGCTCCATGCTCGGCTCTAAATGGTGCACCTGAGATATCGAATAAAAAATCTCGAGTCCTTCGTTAATAAGGCCTGCATGTCGGCAAGCGGACAAAAGGGCGGTCAAGATAACGTGATCCGGTTTAAATCCACAGTCGAGCATTTTGTCGAAGACCCCTAAAGCTTCCTTCCCCATTCCATGCATGGCCATTCCTCCTACCATGGCCGTGAAGACTACAAGATCTTTGTAAGGAGTTGACAGGTAAAGCTTATACGTGCTACTTATGCTCCCACACTTTGAATATACGTCTAAAAGGGCAGCTTTTAAATGGGTATCTTCAAAACAAGCTCTTACAATGTATCCATGACATTGTCTTAGAAAATGAACCGAGGCCATTTGACTACAAACCGGAAGAATGCTCATGATAGTCATAGCATCTGGCCTCAATCCTTGACTCTGTAACTCCCAGAACAAATTAATAGCCTCGTTAGGACACTCATTTTGAGCATAACCACGGACCATGAGGTTCCAAGTAGTGAGATCCCTTGTGGACATCCTCTGGAATATAGTATTTGCATCTTCGTGCAAACCGTGAGCCAAAAAGCCCGAAATCATTGAGTTGCACGTAACTACATTCCTCTTCCCGGATAAATTCGCAAACATTTTCGATGCGTACTCCATACATCCGCATTTGGCGTACGCGTCAAGCAATGCATTTCCAAGAGTGGGTTCATTGTCAGTAAGCAGAATACCAGATGTCAAAGAAAATCCATGGGCTTCTTTAACATTTCTTATTCTGGAAAGGCTAGCACAGAAATGGACCACTGTCAGTAAAGTAACTGCATCGGGTTTTATCCCGTCCGAAAACATCCAATGTAAGAGGTCAGCAAATTGATCTGCGAGTAAATTTACTCCGAATGCATCGAGCATGGTATTCCACGATATCAAGTCTTTGTGGAGAACAAGTGAGAATACTCGAAAGGCTGATTCTGTGCACCCGCATTTAGCATAAAAGTTTATCAGGGCATTTCCAACTGACGTATCCTCATGTAAAACACTATGCCGCAATACAAATCTATGTATCTCTTTTCCCACTTTCAGGTTACGTAGCTGAGCACAAGCAGGAAGTATGCTGATTAAGGTGACAGAATCCAACTCAATCACATTCTTATCAACAAAGTCGCGGAAAATCTCTAATGCCTTCAGATATTTCCCAGTCGAAGCACACCCAGAAATCAATGAATTCCAACTAACCAAATCCCTGAATTCCATCCTTCCAAACAAAGACTCGGCTTCAGTTATTCTCCCAATTCTCAAATAAAAGCTCAAAAGAGCATTAATCACCGTGATTTCATTATCAAGCCCGGCCCGCCTCACCACATGACAGTGTATCTGTTTTCCAAGCATACGAACGTCAGTGCTACTTTTACCCAAAGTAGCACAAATAGGCAGAATATTCACAATGGTAGCATAATTAGGCATAACAGGCCCTTTAATCATCTCACAGAAGAGCTCAAGTGCACTTCCCACAAGCCTATTCTCAGCTAAACCTGAAATCGCAGCATTATACGAAACAACATCTTTGTCAGTAATTTCTCGGAAGACAGCACGTGCATCGAAAACGAGACCACGTTTGGCGTACATCGAGATTAAAGCATTCCCTACCAGTGTCTGTGACTCCATTCCAGACTTTATGGCATATGCATGCATGCACTTTCCAAAATCCCGAGTGCCCGAGCGCGTACATACAGGAAGAACAATGGCAAGAGTGACGTCACTGGGTTTGGGTTCACGAGTGGCATAAAACGTGTTAAACAGCTCCATCACCCTATGATCATGATACCTTGAACTGGAATAACCGGACAAGAGAATGTTCCAAGTGACGGTATCTCGATCAGGAATTTCGTCGAACAGTTTCTGGCAGTCATCGGGAGCTTTGCACTTGGCGTACATGTTGAGTAAAGCTTTTGTGATAATGCGGCAATAGTTAAGGCCTAGTTTAATGGCATGACCGTGGAAAGATCTCCCGAGGTCAGCCTTTGATGTTGAAGCACAGGATTTAATAACATCAGCAAACACTTGATGACTGGATTCGTGAATAGCCACATATTGTCTCCTCTGAAGTAGGAGGGAGAGGGCTTCACTCATTTGGCCTGTACTCGTCAAAGGTCCGACCTTTTTACAAAGGGATTCCAAATCCTCCCAGCTTTGTAACTTTCAAGAGCTAATCAGAAGCCAGAATTGTGGAGAATAGTTCAAAATTGCTGATGGGGTAGAAAATCTACTGTTCTTACAACCAGGAATGAAAGATTATAGTAAGACCATTGCCAGTCGAGGTTGGGTTTAGATTAACTGTGTGGGCCCAGCCGAAGGTGTCAGCTCAAACGGAAACTGACCGCAGTTCGAGCTTGGAGCAAGGAATGGCGTTCAGACATTTTCGCAAACAGTTGGCGGGAATCGAGCGTTTGCGTTGACCCCTGAGCTTGGGCTTGACAGAGGCCGTTTGCTCAACGCTAATCCAAAAATTGGGGGAATTTATATATAAAAAACAAAAAAAGAATAAGTGGACAGAAAAAAAACAAAAAAAATGTATTCACTGAATACGAGTTTTTGATTTTTTTCCACACTTTTTTTTTTGTTTTTTTTTTTTTGTCCAGTTACCTTAAATTTATTTNCCCCAAAAATTGATTGATTATATATAAAGACTAGTACGTACCCCGTATAATGCACGTAACAGATATATTAAATAAGTTATTTTCACACCCTAAGTTATTATCTATTTTATACCTCTTTGAATCAACGTTGAGTCTAAAAAACAATTATAAGTCGGAACAAAGATATTAAATGAGTTATTTTCATAAATAATAGTGTTATTATCTATTTTCTACCTCTTTTAATCAACGTTAACTCTAAAAAACTTATTATAAGTTTTTTTCCACATCTTTTAACCAACATTGTTTTTTTTAGTCAGAACATTAAATATGAGCATGTTAAGGTTAATTTGTAAAATAATTAATATATTATCTCACTAAAATATTTATACTAATAAAAATTTAATTTTAACATATAAATTTATCACTTGATATAAGAGAAAGTAACAATTTTATTTATTGTTGTTCACTATATAATATGTAATTATTATTTTATTATATAATAAAAAGAAATACTGTCAAATAGTGTAGTAGACTGTCAAATAGTGTAGTAGAATTGTTATAAAATTATATGAATTATATTTTTGTACAATATGGATTTAGTATCTTTTTATGATTTGATAATATAACTATAATATATTCTTAATGATACAATCTGAAATCGGATTACAGAATTTCAATACGGTCCATTTCTAGAACCCATTTTCCCTATGTAAGAAATCTTTTATTTTTCTTTTTCAAAACGATAGATAATATTATATCACGAAGTGTACATGAATACAACATGAGAGCCAACTGACTCTAAAAGTTCGACGATCACAAATATTTATGTGTCTACTAGATTATTTTTGGATAACGCCTTCTATCCATTGAATTATTTCCGGACAAAGCCATGTGAAATATTAATTTGCATTGGATTCTTTTGCATTGGACAATGACATGGTTAATCTATCCATTGCATTCTTTCCGGACAAGGCTATGTACAGCATTAATTCGCAGTGAATTCTTTTGCATTGGACAACGACAAATGAATATATCATTACTTTGCATTTCATTCTTTTGCATTGGACAATGACAAATGAATAAATCATTACTTTGCACTAGACTTTTTTCTCTATTTATATAACCTACTTCATTCTAAATCATTGTTCCTACGCCACTCTTCTTGAATATCTTCTTTTCTTCTCAAAAGCTAACAACAAAATGTTTTCTCCGAAGGGGCCAACCAAAGCGGAAAGAGGCCTTAATTGTGAGATGTTACATAAGCATTTCACATAATCCAGCATCAACAAATGGCCAAAGTTATTCGACAAACAAAACTGAAGAAGAAAATGAAGACCAATTTTGCTAATATTTTAATACTATGAAACCTAAAAGTGATATTATTGTTGTTCTAAAAGCCCGAATAACGTCAAAGTGTCTAGCTTCAAATGTAGAAATAACAACTTGATTTGCAGAGAAGGAGGGATGAAGATAGATTTCTGATGATAAATTTGAGTTCTTTTACGAATCTTATGATACGTCGACATTGAGAATAAAAACAAATGCAAATTTTACAAGAAAGACAAATTGAACAACAACAATCTCAAGTAACACCACCATCATTTAACACGGGTCACTTTGAATTTCTCGACGAGATCGGGCATGACAAAGGAAAGTTGAATGATTATTATGATGACAATTAAGTCTGTGAAGTCGTCAAATTTTATAAACCTTTTTAGTTTTTATTTTCATATATCAATTATCGTTGTTATAGTAATTGTATGTGATTTTGAATGATGTGTTTTTTAGTTTATCTTTATTTTGTAATTTTTATTTTAGTGTTTGACGTTAATTTTAAGTGAGTTGCAAGTTTATCCTTATTTTGTAATTTTAAATTGTTTGTTTGTAATATTTATTTAATTGAGTTTAAATACTAACTAAAATACTATCATATTGATTACTAAAACAATAAAATTTCCCCCGTAGACTAAAAGTTCTACCATATTAATTACAATACTAAGTTTAAATTCTTAATAAAATATTTTAATTTAACCCATAAACTAATTAAAGTATAAACATAAATGATTCTAGCTCAATTGTACTTAAAAGAAATAAAAAAATATAGTCAGATCCATCTAAATTGGCCCAAAATACACAACCCAACTCATTTTTCACTAAAAAAATAAAAATAAAAAATCTAAGAGAATGAATAGTGGAACGGCTTGGCAACTGTTCCACAAACCTCTCTGCTTCAAATAGCAGAGAGGAGAGAGATGAGTTGGAGATGGTTTTTCTCCATTGTTGCCGCTTCAAAGTGGATACGGGAGGATTTTTTTCTTAACTAGGACTCTCTTGGTCATCAAGCTACCCTAAGTATATATGGATAACTAGGTTCTCTACTTCACACAACACACATACGCGCACGATTTCATCACGTGCAAACACTTACTTGAGCGTCAGAGGCTTTTCTGCTAGGAATTGCAGGTTGTCGGAGCTCCGAGCTGGTGCAGGTTCGTGGGATCGCGGTTCAATCGGTTCGAGGCAATTTGCGTATCATGACTTTCTTGGGTGGTCGCCTTCGGGTGGTGGCGGTTTTGGAGAAGCTTGTCGGTTGTTGGGAAGGACTTTATTTTATCTTATAGTGGTTAGGATCTTTCCCATGTAGAGTATGTTCTTTTGGTGTTTGTATTTCTCCGTTTTAGCAGTTTGTATTATTCACTTGTGGGGGAATTTTTGTATGTAGAGTTGTGTTTGTGTTAGTGTGGTCGGACTCCAACTAAATTCAGTTGTCCTGATCGTTTTTCTAGACTTTAAATATGTGTTTTATTCATAAAATATATCGTTAATAAAAAAACAAAAGCCACCAGATATGTAACACAGAATATTTTGAGCATGTGTGCAATTGGTTCTTATAACTACAAATTCGGCCCTTTCAATGAGATTCTCGAACCCATCAATGAATCTACAGACTTTGGTTAGGCTTTTGCATATATAAGCAAGTGTAGAAGTTTCCATTTGCAGACCCAAAATATGTATAGCTAATATCTCATTTATTGTACAATTGAAATTGCATTAGTCTAAAGGCTAAAATCACCCAGAAGTGGAAAATTACAACAGGTCATCGGTTTTCCTCAACTATTGCACCAATAAAAAAACAGGAAAACTACCTCAGCCAAATCTCTCCAAGGAGAAAAAAAGTCCCAAGAGACAGTTAGCCCCCCCCAAAAAAAAAGAAAAAGAAAGAATAAAAGTACAACAGAATCAAAAGAAACAATGAGAAAATAGCCATTATACAACAGTTGTAAGAAAACGGGTACTTCTTCGCATCAATCCTCGGTTTTCCAAACTACATCCTCCAGGGAAGTCGACAGGTTTTTATAGAACTGCATATAAGACAGCATACAAAAAATAAATAAATAGTTTTCTAAGGGCTTGTTGAAAAACAAAGATTATCATACTAAGGGATCAAACCTGTTTACTATTTCTGTCCTGCACATTAATGCACAATAATATGAAGATATTCAATTTTATAGAGTGAATGAGATGGTACTAAATATAGCCATATTTTCGGCTAGTAACATTCAAGAGTGGTCCACAAGTTGTATAAGATATTCAAAAACTTATTTTAAGTTAAATACTGTTAGTCAACCAAAAATTATACTCAAACCAGCCACAAGTTCTAACTTTCAATTAGTATATTTCACAAGCAGTTAAGCCATAATTCCAATTTGATTCAATGGAGGACTACTATTAACCATTTTAAGAAAGCAAAAGGGTCAGTGGATACACATGGCCATTAGCCGAGGCTTTAGGTTTTATAGATTAAGCCAGTAAACGACGGGCCAATATGCATGAGAAATTGTCAAGAATTTGAGAAAAATGTGGTTTTTATTCAACATAGACAAAAAGCAAAGTTAAAGTACATTTTCCAAAGAAATAACAATTAGATAAGACTCCCCTAGAACTATGTACCTTATGAAACTCTAGAGTATCTCCCTTTGCCTTCCTAACCTCAACCATATGCAGAGAAGGGGCCACTTGAAAAACCTGAGCACATAATATGCATTGATTACCAGCAAATATATGAGATCAAAATGGATGGGTGGAAATTGAGATGCATCTTTAATAGAACAGGAGATAGAAAATTTAAACGGCAAAATACACAATACCTCAGTGGCGACATTAAGGTTGCCTTTTCTTCCAGCTTTTGAATTTTGGAGCCTCATCTGGAAATATAATATCAATAAAATCATTAGGATGAATAGAATAGCAATATGGTGTCGAATTCACTACTTTAAATACACATTTAGTCAAATGAGGGCCATACGAAATGCAAAACTGATAAAAAGCAAACCGAGAATTGAATAATTACCTTGTAATTCTTCTTGTGAACATCAAAACCGAGAGGTTTAGCAGCTTCTTCGATTTTGCTGATTATCTCGCTGGCTGGGGATTTAGATGTGAACCTCGTCTCCCTTTTGAATCCCTATTTACAGTGTCCAACCATGTATGATAATTGCATGAATGTCAAGATAATTTAAAGACTTTTCACTTTATAAGAAATATAATGAAACTAGAGGTTGCAATTTATCCTTACTTGACCTTACTAAGATAGATTGAATCACAACCATATATATTTCCCAATGTTAAACATGCGTTCTCAGCCATTACCACCTCTATTTTGAGTTTAATGAAAGCCAATAACAAACTAATTATACGGTGTAATCTTTACAGGGAAAAAAAACAAAAAAACCCAAACCTGTTCCATATCAAATAGATTCCCGAGATTGAGACCTTTTGACATTGAAATCAACTCAAAGGCATTCATGGCAGCAGGCTGCTCCTCCTTTTTCTCTGTCACATGATATTCCTGCAGCTCCCACAATTTTATTTTATTTTACTTTCTTTTAACAATTAATGCTATGTCATAAGTGAATTTAGAAAGTACTGAAATCCACGTGCTTGCAAAGAACATACCTCATAATCCTTGAATACAGCTTCCACATCATCCAGATTGGCATCTTCTGTCTCGTCAAACACCGGTGGTTTATAGTCTTTCTTAAACCACCCGTCCTCTCGAATTTCCGAAATCGTGATGCGCTGCACAAATGTAAGTCATAGAGCATTAATAATTAATTCTCTTCATGTATAGTGAGAGGGATAGTTTTCTGAGTATAAACATTTTGTTCCTTGCTTTATTCCGACCATCTGATGTTTTAACATGTTTTTGTCAGCTACACAGGGATAATGTTAAGCGTACTTGAAAAGACATTGAAAATGGAACTTTCATACGCTAATCAAGTAGAAAGTTGTTTCAAAATTCGGCAAGTCGTTGTGACATTAAGAAGAACTATACTTTTTTTTACTGAAATATATGAACACCAAAGAAAAGTATTTTGACATGTATTATTATGAATTATAGTCAGCTAATATTTAAGAAAGCTCATCATATGTATATTATTAAGTTATTACTTTCTCGGGATTTGGTTCCAGGATTCGTGCAATCAATTTCATGGCACCAAAGGAAAGCCATGGAGGACAGGTAAATTCAGCGCAAGATATCTGCACAAGGCACATTGATAAAAAATTTGGTGAAAATACTGAAGAGTTATAAAAGAGAGAATTAAAAATTGGTTCAGCATAAAAATTAGCCAGAAAATGCTCACTTTTTTATATAGGTTCATAAGATTAGAATCATCAAAAGGCAAGTAACCTGCAAGCAACACGAAAAGTATAACCCCACATGACCACAGATCTGCAGTTGCTCCATTGTAGCCTCGATCATTCAGGACCTAAGCAGATTTGAAGTTCATCAATTAGACCATAGAAAAATAAAGGCTGAGCTGATGCGCAAAACAAGAGAAAAATTGCATATTCTAATTCTATATACCTCAGGAGCAACATAATTTGGAGTTCCACAAGTGGTGTGCAATAAACCATCATCCTGTCAAATAAATATTTTGAAATTGTCAATGTCAGTTAAAAAAAAAAATTATAAAGGTATAAAAGGGAGAGTAGCTCACGGTTTTTGCTGCTTTAACTGCAAGTATAACTAATCTACAAAATACATAATGATTGTATCTGAATCAAGGGTTGAGAGATGAACATTACGCTGACTTGCTGTGACAAGGCACTTAATCCAAAATCAGAAACTTTCAGATTTCCAGCAGAATCCAGCAACAAGTTTTCCGGCTGCATGAGT